CCCTGGCCACTAACAGACTGCAAGGGCTGTCCATCATATGGCCCCACCTCTCGCTGGTAATTGGTTGCGAAGGCTGTCCATTATGAAGCCATGCCCCTTGCTGTTAGTGGGTGGAGAGGAGGGGGGGGCAACATAAGAGGCAGCTCTCAGCACCTTGGCTTGCCCTTTGTGTGGGCTGTCCCCTCCCTCTTCCCACTAGTGGGCTGAGCAGCTAGGGCACAGAGCCATGAAGTCTGCTGGTTCCCTCTGGGGAGCCAGCATTTTATTTTTAGTAAGTTTTCTACTTTTTTTTCCTGTGGATTTTGTGGACATTGCTCACTTTTGCAGGCAATGATGGATTTTGTGATTTTTGCAAAATCGTGATTTCGGTAGTTTCCTAACCAATGACTCTTCTGGCCCATCCTTTGACATGATGCCTGTATGTACAATACCATGGAATCTTGCACATGTATGAAGAGCGTTTTTGCAGATTTCCTAATTAAACAATCTTCAGCATTGGAGATGCGTGCTTATGACTGTTCTAGGAACACGAGCAATTACTCTCCCTATTATAGCATTTGCAAATTCAAGGAGGCCAGCAAGAAGTTAAGCACATAATTACAACAAAACCATGTAATCTAAAACCAAGAACTACTGAAATATCAAATCTGATGCAGCTGCCAGAGATGGAATTTTTCACGCTGACATTTTTCCTGTCACATTACAATGCAGAGTTAACTTTAAAGCTGCATAGTGTCAGCTTTAAGTCCACCTGTGTAGAGAAAGAAAAATGTGACAGCCCATAGAAAGAAATGAAGGGATGACACGAGACTAAAATTATTCTATGTGCTGTGACCTTTTCTTTACCAAGGGAGAGAGGACCTTATTAAATAAGTGGGTTTTTGAAGAAGCTTGGAGGCTCCCTCTTTCACTTGCAAATCAATTTAACAGATAGCCACCAGTTAATAAACCCAGCAAAACATTATTGGAGCAACCATCTAATCCTAGGTTAGTGTTGGCAAAGAAACTGGTGTTTGCACATCCTAAACAAAAAAAAATACAAATAAATGAAGAAACACACAGACACACACAAAAAGGGACCAGCAAGGGGGAAAGAGATGGTTTACTATATTGATTTAGTTATACATACTTAGAAATAGACATACATTTTGTGCAATCCTAATCTGGGCACAATTATACCACTATAATATTTAGTGAAGTAGCTTTATTTCAGTAAATTTACTAATTTTTAAAACCCATATAGTCTAACTGAGGGTGTGGGGCACCTGTGTATAGTCCAGACTGAAGTGCCAGTACTTCAAGGATCCTAATCATAAATTAGTCACAAATCTGCTCTGGATATACTTCCACATGAACCACTTCAGAGTTCTGTAGGAGAGGCAGGCAGCCATTTAAAATCATTCAGTGGCACTAGCCATTTGCCAAATCCTTTAGAAGCAGCAAATCTTTTGGGCTATATCTTTTACTGGCGCACAGATATAGTTGGGCGAGATGTTAGACAAGCTGCCCTTCTTCAGGGCTGGTGAAGAAACAACAGGCTTCAAACTTCAACCAAAAAGCCTGACAAAAGCCAGCCAAGCCAATGCAAGAAAGGTTCTCTCTCAGACCTAAAGAAGGGCATTTTGTACACAAAAGGCTCAACCTTTCTCCCAACTGTACAGTTGGGCCAATAAAATTTGTCACCAAAAAACCTTACTTCCCATATTTCCTGGACCATCACAGCTACAACAACACTACGACCCTACTATAATCCATACAAAAACAGATTGTGATCAGCTTTTCTCACTTTATTAATGCTTTATTACACTGTGCCTCGGAGCCTATCTGTCTTCTGCTCAATAGTTTGTATCTCAATTCAGGCTTCTTCAATTGTTACTCAAAGGCAAGGCTTTCTTGTAGTGTCTTTTACTGGACCAACTAGGTAGTTGCCTGATGAAGAATGTCTTGCATTTGAAGGCTTGTCTAACTTTATCCCAGGTACACAGTCAGTCCAATAAACGATAGCACCGTAAGAAATCCTTGCCTCGTGCATAATCTGGGACCATTACAGCTACACCACTCTTAAACTATTATTACTCAGATCCCTTTGCCTCTAAAACAACCAATTGAAAGGACCCAGCCAGTTTCACAGCTGCTAACAGTACAGCACCGAGAGGCTGAGAAAGGCTAAACTGATCAACTGCTCACCCTGTATGTTGGCAATTGTCCGATTACCAAACAAACCTCCCATATGTGGCTTAGAGTGCTGCATGCTATTTGTAATGCTGACACCACCTTGCATGTGCAAAACAACAAGTACTGATCAGCCAAGTGGCCAAACTCCAAACAATTAGTACCTTTAGTCCCAAGTACTGAATGTGGAAGGAGATGGAAACCTATACTAATTTGACCCTAACATACAAGATGACCTGAAAATTAAATGTGCTGTTCAAAGGAAAAGTGATCAGTTATAAAAACCACTACACCTTGCAAGACATGATCTTTAAAAACTGCCAAACTGATATCCTGTAAAATCCAATCTCAGGTACTACCCTCCAACATTTTATATTTAGAAGAGAAATGGTAGCCTGAGAGAGAGGGAGGGGGAAGTGGGGAGAGCATGAGTGAGTGAGTGCACGTGCAAGAGCACAAGCGCACTTTTGCTTCACAGAGTATGAATCTTGCCACAGCAGAATTTTATGGTTATCTTTAGTTGTCATAACATGATGAAATGATTTTGTTAATTACCTAAATGGCTTGCTGCAATTTTGTTCAATCTGTTTATCCTGTGGACTCAACTACCATGGCAAATGCCTTGATGTAGGATTCATTTAGAAGGCATGAAAAAGGAGAGAGAGAGAACGCAGCTCAAGAAGTTCCTGTAAAAGAACACTTCTGAGTACTCCAATCTTTCCACACTTTGATAGGGATTAACTTAATGATCCCATACATTGATTCTTGGTGAATTACTGCAATTCTATTCAGTATAGTGTGCAGCTGTATAACATCATATTGTACTGTGAAATATCAATCTTCTAAGAACGTTGCTGTAATGAGAGCAGCGTATGCTTTATAGAACTAGCTACAAAAATAAATAAATAAATAAATAAATAAATAATGTACAGAAAAGCCACCTTTAAATTAAAATAAAAAAAGACATTTAAAGTTTGGCCATTCTTCATTATGGAAAAGAACCTTCCTCTTTGAGACCATTATCCATCAGAAAAGCTCCATCTGTTGTATAATTATCTCTGATAAATGACACTAAGCTTCATTAGAGTGGTGGGGGTGGGAGGGAAGAGAGAGATAGCTAGAACTGTAAATAAATCTCACAACTGTATTTCACTTAAAGCCATTCCAGCAGGAAGTCGTAAAGAATATTTTTATAGGTTATATTTCCAAATGCTCTGCTAGCCATGCTGCTTAATATCCATCACCTTGGAGTGCAAATTCATGAGTGTATAGCAATCTAGATTGGAGTACATTTTATTTAATTCTCCGTTCCATGACTCCTTGTAGCCCCTTTTTCTTCTTTTGCACCCCTCCACCACCCTCCCCCCACAACTCCTTATACATGGCTTAACTCAAGACTCATTGAAATATTTTCACAAAAACTGGCAGAGTTGAATGGAAGAAATACTCCATTATCTGCAGCAAATGGTGGATCTTGGCTTATGAGTGAATAGGGGATTGACAGATCAGACCGGTGAATGCCCAATGTATTGCTGTGTTCTCTGGAAAGGGTGTTTTAAGACCTGCTTTTACAGCACCCTATGGATTCTTCGGTGGAGAAGCAGCAGACAGGGAAGTAATGAATGGTAGCCATCAGCAACTATTTGAACGAAGGAGAGACAAGAATTATGCTGCAAGTTAACTCCGATTAGAGCAATTGATCTCAAAATGCCTTGGAGTTTGATTAATCAAAGTTCATATTACAGTTGGTACAAATAAAACTGCCACTGTTCACATTAATCTGGAAAAAATTGACACCGTGTAAAAGAAAATTACTTACCTGAGTAGAAATAGGTATTTCACAACACCCGAAGACCTCAACGTGCTAGTAAGTTAAACGAAACCAAAACTAAATCTGGCAACGTATCAAAGTTCCTTCTGTCCCAGCACTTGACTTCTTATTTATAGTAGTTACCTCAAAGTGTTTAAGAACCTTGGCATCTCCAGCAGCTTGCCTACTAAAAGGGTGCATATGTTTATCTGCCATTCATTAGTTACAAGTGTACTGAGATCAAGAGATTCCTTCAACAGTCCACCTTCCAGAAAAGTAAGACTTTAGTCTGAAGAAAACGAAACTAAAAATTACACATTGAACTTAAACTTCAGTATTCAAGTTTTTAAACTCAAAATATTACACACAGCATCAATGTGCATAGAAGTTTAGAACGGTTTTCAGGAAAACAGCGAAGACATTAGATCATAGTTTGCATTAGCCAAGTTTGTTCAACTTATCCCCATCTTTAAGCAGGATGTCAGTCTATCACAATTTCTATGCACAGAAAACCATGGAAGAGCTGGGTCACAAAGCTTAGCTGATAAATCAGGTTTGCCACAGAGACTTACTATCAGTCAAGAACAACCTTACATTACAGTCTGTACTGCCTGTAATCATTTTAAGAAGAGCCTTTAAAATGATGCAGGGACAGAATTTATAAGATTCTGGCTTTCAGACTACTGCATACAATAATTTTCTCACAGAAGTGTAGTAAATAAATACAACTTTCTCAAAACAGTCAATTAAGAGCAGCCTGACTCAAGTTCAAATAGCTGTAAGTCAGCACACACAGACGGAGATTAAGAAATTCTGTGACTTCTCATGTTTTCAGTTTTTGGTTAAAACCACTTGTTTCAGCTTTGAATATTTTCTATTCTCCTTCCTCCTCTCCCCACCATCCCCCAACAGACAGGTCATATCTTCTTATTATGAGTGGATGACAAATGCACTTGAGAAAAGAGCGGGTGTTTAGGCCTCCTCTACTCTCCCCTCTCCTCTGGGCTCATGTACTTACATTCCTCTTTGCTCAGTGAAGTTACATTCAGTTCTGTCGAAAGTTGCTGGTTGGAGTTAACAGTCTGCGTAGTTAGAGAGGTATTGCTGTTGTCACTGTTTGTTTCTCCAGAGAACAAATCTGATTGGCTGTTGCTTGTGCTGGGAGTGGAGTCATCATCTGTCTGCTTCTTTTGGAAATCTATCAACAACAAGAGTTGAAAATGTGTGAGGTATGAAGTCTATGGTTCCAAGCATAACATGAGATGAGAAGAGCCAAGACAAACAAAACATTCTGCTCAAAATGCAATGAATACACTAAATGGACTAAAACCATTCTGATTCTTTGGATATGCTGGAGACCATATTTTTGTGCCTACAACATGCCCCCATATATATTATGTAGTTTATTTTGGAGTCAGGATGAAATAAAAAAACATTCCTGTAGAAACCGAGTAGCAGCAGCTATGGAGATGAGCCTGCTGCTAGCCCTGTGTGCTGGATGGGGCCTGAGGACTGATCTGGTGAAGTCCAACCCCCGACTCCGTGCTTGGTCTGGGTCTGATCTCACAAACCAACCCCACATGTTGGACCAATTTGACAAGCCAGGCCATGTCATCTGGCCAAGAGGCTCCCACAGGTCCAGAAATTTTGTATCGGGGCAGTGGTGGCAGCTTTGATTGCCATGGTTTCTAGAGCTATGAAAATTAATGCTGCCACCACTGCCCCAGTCCCATGTGGATTCATTTTTCTCACCTATAGTGCACACCCTAATTATCTCCAGTTGGTTTTGGTGAAAAAGGTGTGGGTTTTATTCAAAGAAAAAGTGGTAGTAAAAATAAAAAATAAAAAAATGAAGTAGCCTTAAGTTTTGAATTTATTACAGATGTAAAACTTCACTTAAATTCTTGTTGTTGTTAAACACTGATAATGTTTTAGCATGGCGCAAAGTGGAAAATGGACCTTGCTCCAAGAATCTTAGTCTAGATGCATCCAAGTCACCTTCTGCCCTGTGCTGGATTATGGACTGTGGGGCTCCTTACTGGCTGGCTCTGGACCATATCATGTGGTGGTGGCATCTGTGGACTGGAGCATGCAGCAGTGGCAACAAATCCCACTGCACATCCCATGCTGGAGCTGCCACCACTATATGCCCTCTGCCACTGCAGCAGCTCCAGTTCCAGCACAGGGCAGGGGCAGGCTACTAGGGAGGTAGGCCCATTGGCAGAGGTGACTGGCAAAGTTTCTGGAGGGCAACCAGAACTGTCAGCCCTTGTTTGTCCTCCTGCCACTGACTGCCATTCCACGGCAGGCCACAATGCCCAGCCATGCCACTAGTCCAGCAGGTATCTGGCCCATAGGCTTTATATTTGGCAATCCTGTTTTAGTTTTTAATAAGAGTATCTAAAGCTTACTTGCATGTTTGACAATCAAACTTTTAACATGTGTGAGATTTGAACAATTAAAACATACTATGGAGAAGGGTTACATGCAAGACATAAAACTGAAAGAGACTTGCTATGCTACCCAATCCAATCACTGCGCTTTTCTGCAAAATATTTCCCACTAGTAAAGTTCCATCAGTAGCAATGAATGGAGAGTGAGCCTGTTGACAGGTCTCCTGGCTGCCTGTCGTCTGTGTAATTTTTCTAACCCTTTCTGAGCATACCTGAGATAAGAGGAATAAAAGGAATGAATGGGAGCTGCATTTACCCTACTGCTTCAACCAGTGCTCCCCCTAATGGAGCTGAACTGGTGGTCATCACTGCAGAAAGTTTCAGGGATGTTATTTTAGAATAAAGGCCTACCCGAAAAGAAAAGGATTTACCTCTAACATTGCTGTCTACAAACATTTTATCCAGTCTACTGTTTATGATTCTCCTCTTGGTATCACCCTATATATAGTATGATTGCTCCTGTACCAAAATATTTAATTGCTCTCACTTAAAACTACATTTCTCCTTTCAAGCTGCTGTTTCTCATCGTAAGAACTGTATGTCATCCTCCCTCTGCTGTGCTACTTCAATCCTTGCAGACAACTGTAACCAACCAAATAAAACATTTGCACTGAGTTCCCTTAAAAGAAAAAGGAAAGAAAAACCTCCTGAATTTGAATTTTCCCCAGTTAGAAATGAAGTGGAAGTAGAATACTTTTTCCCACATAACCTTTCCTTTATTCTCAATACATGGCAAAATGACAAAGCTGTTGACAGAAATGACTTGTTCCCACATTCCCCTCACCCTGTAGTATAGCCTGGAGTGAAGTCATAATGCTTCACATTTCAATTATGGCAACGGTACATGTTATCACAAGATTATGACTTCATTATTACAGGATCCAGCAGAAGATGAGCTCTGTGAACACAAAAGCATCCTAAAAAATGTAAAGGCAAATTCAAACACATACTGACAACCTAAATGGTTTGTAGATTAACTTTTTTCCCTTTGTGCTTCTGGTAAAAATTACAGGTTAACTTCTACATGGAGATCATTTATTTAAACTCCTGTTCTACTTCACCTGTCTGTGCCTTGCCTTAACTACACCATGCGTTGCAACCTACTCTGAGAGAAATTTAGGATAGGAATATGCCTTTCTATTTTAAGATTATTAATCTGGATAGCCCCTCGAAAGTAAACAGGGAAATATTATCATTAACAAAATTACATTGCTGGCGGTGGGGTACCCTGACTGGCTTCCCTAGCCAGAGAAGGATGTGGCTTCCCTACAGCTACTGGGGCAGGGCTACAGCTAACCCCTTCTCTGCCCTCTTCTGCAGCCCAGGGAGCCTAAGGAGCATGCTGTGAGGAGTGCAACAGCAACCTTTCCCTTCTGGCCTTGGCTAGTGCATGGAGGCTCCGAGCTCCCACCATTAATACGGACCAGCTGTTAAGGTCAATCATGCTGTAATTTTAAGCACTTTGTGCAGAGTGCAAAAGTTACCACGTGATCAGAAGTGCCTTCCAATCACTAGCACAAGTGCCCCCTATGTATAGACCCCATGAAGGCCTCTGCTCTGGCAGCTCAGCAGTTCTCTCTTCCTCAAAACCTACCCTTTCCCTTTTCTGTGAACATATGAGGGTTTATTTAAATGGGAAAATATCAGGTGTTTTTAAATGTGAGCGCCAACACATTAACACTTTTCAAGCATGACTTAATACTTAACTGTAGACAAAAGGCTTTCCTGGACTAGGAAAATAAGTAGTTTTTAAGTATTTTCAAACACCAGTTTAAAGTGCCCTTTTCTTTCTTGAAAAACTCACTAGCTGATTGCAGTCATGACCTAGATTCTCCCTGATGGTAAGTCCCAGACAGATAATGTATTTAAATGAGTTAAATTGGCAGGTGCAAAATATGTAAGTTAAAAAAAAAAAAATCTTCACACAATCTCTCCCCCTTATCTAGACATGGCCAAAGTGTGTGACCCAACAGAGTCATGAAGCTGAGGCTGATGAGAGTCAGCTAGAGAATAAGACTGCTTCAGTGAAACAAGGAGCATCTCAGAGGGAAAAGAAAAGGAAAGAAAGTGCAGCTACAACGTGGTCTGGAACAGTGTTTCTCAATCCATGGGTCACAACCCAAAAGTGGGTCACAAGAAAATATGAAAGGGTTGTGAACAAACCTTAAAAATGGATCAACAAACTTTAAAAATGGATTCTCCTTTAAGGAGAAAAATATGGGAAACCAAGGCTTTTCCCTTGAAGGCTGGCAGAGCTCCACACATACCCAATCCCCTGCCCCCCACACTTGGGGGTTGGGGCTAGCCACTGATGTTTAAAAATGGGTCCTGGTACAAAAAAAGGTTGAGAACCACTGGTCTGGAATATTGGCAGAGATACCAGGTGCTTTGAAACCCTGTGGGACTGTCCTAAATCAAATTACAACCCTGGCAGCTATATTTCATGTGCATTTAAGCATCCCCCGTCCCCACCCCTTCAGTTCCTGGCTGGTTACACCAACATGATATTTTGTTCAGAAATGTTTGGACACTCATGTTACCTGTAAAAACACTTTCTACCTGTAAATGCAAGGAGGATGAAGAGGTCAGATGAGAAATGGTTTACGACAGATTTGTATGCAAGGCACTGCATGAAAGTTAAGCCGAATTGCATACATTTATCAGAAATGGAAGTATGTCCAACCTCAAGCAGTAGAGGAAAATTATGGTTACATTCCATATTAAACACCACTAGTGATCTGCAAAACCCATTTAAAAAGGCAGTTTGCAGTTACACTACTGCAACAGATAGCAAAAAATTTAACAACAACTAGTAAATTAAAAATTTTCAGCCAATGTATTTATTTCCAAGTAGATATGAACATTGTGCTTTCAGGCTGTATCATCTGCCAAGTTTTAGCCACAAAGACTATTTACATGTGAATTTTAAACCTCAAAAAATGGATTGTATAATGGAAGCCCTGGTAGACACTTAAGAGCAGCATAGTGAACAGTGGTGCTACACTACTGCTCCCAAAGCTCCTTGTTTAGTGTACACATTCAGCAAGACTCTTTTGAAGGCCATTCATTTTTGTGACCATCTGATAAACTTTCCTGCTTAAAATGGGGCACAAAAGACTGTCAAGAGCCATTATTGAGTAAAGACATTCCCCGAAAAGCTTACTAATGAAACTGCTGGCAGGCATGGGCAGTTGCACTGCAACACAACACTGCACAGCAGTTTTACACTATTAGCCTCTGCGTCCATGAGACCTCAAACCATCAGGGCTGTACTCTTTATTCATTAGAATCTCCTACTAGATTTGGCAAACTAATTAGCTCTCAAGAAACCTCATTCGCTCTGCTTTGTGTGGTAACTGAGCTTGTCTATTTTTTAATGCTTTTCTCAAAGCAGATAAAAGAATACAAAGAGAAGGGACCTACCATTTTGAAGCACTACCATGCTGAAGGACTGGAAAGCGATTCAGGGTGCCCCTCCCCACCCCCCAAAATGTACTTCTTTCAGAAGAGACGCAACAAAAATTGCTGGCAGAAGTTTTATAGGACCAACTGGTGACAGGTTGGAGCTATTACAAAAGCTGCCACCAAAATCCACATAATTCAAACTCTCCAGTTGGTCATTAAAAACAAACACGTGTAAATCCTAGTTTTCTAAGTAGCATGATGCGTGCAATCTTAGGAGTTGATCCATCTGGATCAAGCATATTTTGTAGTTAGCTTTTTAACTGGCATCTAGTTTAGCACA